GTGTCTCTAGCTTCACATGTCTGAGAACAGAATCACCAACTACCAGAGTTTGACCCCCGGTGGGTGTGTCGCAGAGTGGGGAAAAATGGTTAGACACATGAACAGGTTGGTGGTGTACCTGGGGTACTGTTCATCATCTTTCACTGATCAATAATTTTCATGTCATGTTTTTCTGTCATGTTTAAGTTATGTAAATTCAATGACATTTCTCACATATTTGGGGAATTTTTTAATGACAGTTTTTTCTTGAGACAAAAATAATCTTAGAAGTAATGACTTTTTTCTGCAGGAAGAACCAAAACACATGGAGCCACGTGTTGTATTTGGTACAGATTTTATGTCAGATGTATAAAACTGCTTTTCCTGACTGAGCCACAGTAACTTTGTTTTAGGACCAAAAAAATTGTGGAAAAACTACTTGAACTCTAAGTAGAGTCAGTGCTGATTAATATGCAATAAGTAATTCATTTCTAATAGGGCTTTTTTATTAGAATCTGTCAGAAAAACAAGAAAACACATGATGTACATCTGAACACGTATTATAGAGCAGTATCAGGAAAAAAAACGACATCTACACAGCTGCCTGATGCTTCTTTACATGTTCACTTATGCAGGGATCTCCCAATGTATTTGATAGGTGATGATGTTTGTTGAAGCTTGTACCGCAGTGCTGCTTTGGTTTCTTCCTCCACTTTCCTTTTCATCTCCTCCAGTTTTTGGACCTTCAACGTGTCTCCTTTCTCCATCTTACCAGTCGGGAAGTCCAAGTGGACAATAGTGGACGCTGAATCGGCTTTCAGTGCGATCTGCTCCAGTCTGACTACATGCTGGTAAGACTCATCCAGGTACTGTGACTTCTCTGCTGTCAGAAGGTTCATTTCCTTTTCAAGATTTTCTAACAGGCTCGATATTTTTTCAACTTCCGTTTTCTTTCTGTAATTTGTCTGCCTCAGAGCTTCTTGAATATCTCTGATTTCTGTCTTTTTCAGTTCAGCCAGCTCGATTCTCTCTTTCAGGTTTTTGATAGAGGCTTTCAGTCTGAGTCGCTCATTTAACACTTCGACTGTTTTCATCAGTTTTTGAGGATTAGATTTTCCCAAGAATTCTGTCAATTGATCCATGTTTGTATATGTAAGTTCCCATGAATTTCTAAAAATTGTGTTTTTCTCTCTTCGCTCTTCATGCTGTTGGTTATTAAACAGGAAGTGAACAGGCTCATTCTTCTCATTTTTGGCACATTTAATGTTTGCTGCTTCAAGAGCTTGAAGAGTGTTTTTAGGTCTGCTTCCATCTGAGTGTGTGAT